TAAAGTACTGTTTGTTTGCTCAGCCCCTGCCTGAGGGCCTGAGCCCTAAAGTACTATTTGTTTGCTCAGCCCCTGCCTGAGGGCCTGAGCCCTGAACTACTGGTTGCTTGCTGCCCCGCCCCGACCGAGGGCTTGGACTTGCGAGACTGAACTGTCTCCCAACCTCATGCCATGAGGCGACTTGGCTGCCAGCCGCCCCTGCGAGGGACGAGCCCCACCCCGGACGTCTACATTCAGTTATACTCTGTGAACAGATCATTTAATTTGCAATTAAAAGGACACTGTCCAGTTTATGGCTGTTTTTTACACTCTTCCTACATCTGGTCCTTTTGCACTGCTCAGGCACTACTCTTGTATGAGTCTCTCACTTTTGTCTTTGTGCCTTCTCTTATGCTGTCCCCTAAGCTTGGAACTGTCTCCCTGATTTTGCATGCCACTAAAACACCCTTTCTTCTTTCAATCTTCCTTAAAAGCACTGTTTCCAGAAGGCCTTCAAACAATAACCCAAAAACAAAATTTAAACCAGCTTTAAGGGAAAACAGACTAAGTTTAACTTTCTGGTACTTATACACTAGCACAAGGTAGCAAAGTTTGTGTTGCAACACTGCAGAGGAAAGTGTATTGATTAAGCAAACTTTCCACTGGAATTTTAAAAGATGTAATGGAAAACATGTTATTTGCTTTGGTTCTGTAAGCCTCTCAGGCTTTTACAAAAGCTTCATTAGGGCCAAATATAACGTGACTGTGTCTCTTTAAAAATAGTCTTAGGTATGAACAGACAACTGGAATAAAGGAGAAGAGAAGACAGTCCATTTCTTAATCTAGCACTTCAATAAGTTTTAGATAGAGGACAAAAGCAAAACAATTAAATTTTAGGCCTGCTAGACATCAATGAGTGAAGGAAAACAAGTCAGATCAGATTCTTATGCTTAATTCTGAATGTCTTATTTTGTAAGCGGACCCTTTATCTTTTATAACAACTTTCATGGCTGAGTCTATGTAAGTGGGTGCAGCTCTCTACAACTTTATCTTCACATATAATACACACATTTTATGCAGTAATATTAGGATTAACTCATTTTCCTTGATTTATTAGTTCTAGTTCTCTTCGACTTGCCCTACAAAGGTAGACAAAGGATCAAAGTTTGAGTTATACTGAAGGGACCTAAATTCTGGGCCGAAATCACTATCTGAAAAAAATAACTCTCAATGTTACTTAAATAATTTCTTTACAGCTAGATTGGCTTAGTTCAGGGTATTTCGTGTTAGAAATTTAGTTTAAGATACCATTAATGCATACTGTAAGTTTCCCAGTTATGTATTTTACTTCAATATGGATGGATAATATGCATGAACTGCTGTGTAAATAGGAAGACACAGAATTTTTCAAATGCCTCTTATTTACATGATAGTTTAATGGGTCAGATCATCTCACTGAAGGTGTCAAGCCTGGGCAATAAACCGACCAAAAATTTAATGAGAAGAGTATAAGTGCTCCCAATAATGTTGTCTGATGCTATGCTAAGCATAACAAAGATTAAAATGGAATGGATCACAAACCCTCAACTGAAGTGCAGTATAGTGAGATGCTACAATAAACATACAGATTGGAAAGTGTATGAACACATGAATAAATAGAACCTTGCAATAACATAAAACTATGTTTTATTAAATATGAATAATTTTACGTTACATGAAAGACACTAGACAAGCCTAAAATACACAGAGACAGACTATAAAGTAGGTTAAATAAGTGCAAATGGTAAAAATGAAAAATATATTCTCCTCCAAAGCATGTAAAAGGAAAGCACAGATATATAAAGAAAAAAACCCAAACTTACTATAGTGGCATATAGCAGTGGTTCCCACCCACTGATATGCAGTAGCAGTACTAGTACTTCAAACATGTTTGAAAAGTCCTCTAGAGTCCCCTCTCCCGCATCTTGACATTTCTTTGTATTAGGACCCAGTGCGTTGTTGCCACCCACCTTTGACTGAATTACAGATCTTAAATGTACTCAAAACCTGTGTCATACCATTGGAAAAGCACCTGAAGCTCCAATGAGGATTAGAATGCACTCGAATGAGAGATGATGGGCATTACCTGATATAACTAAGGGATGGTATAACTGGTACAGTTATCCAAGACTTTTGGGCTTCAGGTATACCGTATACCGATGTCTCTCTAAGACATGCACTTTCACTTAAAAAAAATCAGTTGGCGTCAAACAATTTTGCTAATTAGTTTAACAGGCAATTTTGGCCTGTTAAACTAATTAGCAAAATTGTTTGACGCCAACTGAGCATAGAAAGTTCTTCAGCTACAAGTGAGTGAGATTCTTTTGCAAGATAAAATATACGGAGCTCTATAAAACACCACTGATAGTGATTGCAATAACCAAAAGGGAACTAAACCACAGAAAGCAGCAGCTTATAAACACAAATTAAATCTCTTTCAAAGGCAATTCCCATTGTTTGAGGTTTCAGCAAGAGATTAACTTTAATTATTCTCAGACTAAGATACTCTATTTGTGCCTTTCTGGTTTATCAACTGTCTTGCACAAGGACATATATCAGGCTTTTTTTTTTTTTCCTCACCCTCCAAAATGTCTTCATAAAGTGCATGTACTCCTTCAGGCACAATTACCGCCAAGGCAGTTCCGCAGAGGAGCCCAGCACCCAGAACTGTCACCAGCTTTAACCTTTCCTGCAAGCAAGCATAAAACAAGTAACACTCTTTAGTAATGAACAAAAAACTCTCCTATCCCCCAACAAAAACCAGAAACTTTAACATTTGGAATCAATATTTTTGCTCAAGGGTGTTGAAAAGACCAGTAGCATGAGAAATTACAGCTCCTGATCCACAGATCAAAGTAGGATGGATGCAATGCATGTTTCCCTTGCAATGTTTTAGAGATTACTTTAACCTAGTGTTAAGTAAGATCTGTCGTCCACAGACTCACTTCTGAGCTTTTCTGCATACACTGCCAAACACTATTTAACATACACTACTTACTTTACGCTGGAGTAAACTTACTTCATGCAGTCCTGCTCAACAACTCAGTGCTTGATAAGATTTGTTACTTTGAATTACAAAGTAGGGTGGATAGAAGACCATGCTTTTTAAAAAAAATATAATTGGATTATTTTATTTAAATACATTTTTCTCTTTAAATCTAAACCTATTTAAAATTAAATTTGAAATTGCGATAGCTGATATTAAGGCCTAATTTTACCATAATCTATTAAAATAATTTAGATTAAATAAAAAAAACTAATATTCAAGAATCTGAAGTCAATATTTGATGGGCAGCGAAGAGGGAAATTTTCAGTGGGTGATTTCAGAGAAGGGAGCCCCATGAACAGAATGATGACCCAGGAAGATTAGTAGCTACATTTTAAATGGCGTTGAGGGGAGCAAAGTGGGTATAAGGAAAGCCAGAGAGAAGGTGGTTTCTATAGCCAAGGCAATAGATGAATAGGGCTTGGATGGAAGTTTTAGCAGCATGGGCAGAGAGAAAAGGGTAGGATTTTAGAGATTTTATAGAGGGAGATAAGGCAGGATTTGAACACTGCCTACATGTGCAGGTTTAGAGACCATGGAGATGAAGATGACACCTAGGTTGTAGGACTGTTGCTGGTGAATAAACCAATATGCAATATAGTTTGTTCACCCATAGATGATACTGGTTCTGAATAGCAGTGGTAACAGTAACAAAAACAAATGTATGTAACTCAGATATATAGGGAGTGCAGCAGCAGCCAAAAAAGCTAACAATGTTAGGAACCATTAGGAAAGGGATAGTTAATAAGACAGTAAATATCATAATGCCTCTATATCAGGGGTAGGCAACCTATGGCACGCGTGCCGATTTTCAGTGGCACTCACACTGCCCGGGTCCTGGCCACCAGTCCGGGGGGCTCTGCATTTTAATTTAATTTTAAATGAAGCTTCTTAAACATTTTAAAAACCTTATTTACTTTATATACAACAAAAGTTTAGTTATATATTATAGACTTATAGAAAGAGACCTTCTAAAAACATTAAAATGTATTACTGGCACGCGAAACCCTAAATTAGAGTGAATAAATGAAGACTCGGCACACCACTTCTGAAAGGTTGCCGACCCCTGCTCTATATACATCCATGGTAAGCCCCATATCTTGAATACTGAGTGCAGACCTGATTGCCCCATCTCAAAAAAAATATATATATTAGAAATGGAAAAAGTACAGAGAAGGGCAACAAAAATGATTAGGGGTATGGAACAGCTTCCGTATAAAGAGAGATTAAAAAGACCGGGACTTTTCAGCTTGAAAAAGAGATGACTAAGAGGGAATATAGAGGTCTATAAAATCTTGAATGGTGTGGAGAAAGTGAATAAGGAAATGTTATTTACTCCTTCATGTAACACAAGAACCAGGGATCATCCAATGAAATCAATAGGCAACAGGTTTAAAACAAACAAAAGGAAGTACTTCTTCACACAGTGCACAGTCAACCTGTGGAACTCATTGCCAGAGGATATTGTGAAGGCCAAAATAATATTAGGGTTCAAAAAAGAACTAGATAAATTAATGGAACATAGATCCATCAATAGCTATTAGCCAGGATGGTAGGGATGCAACAGTATGTTCTGAGTGTGCCCTAGCCTCTGTTTGTCAGAAGCTGGGAGTGGACGACGGACGGGATGGATCACTTGATCACCTGTTGTTTATTCCCTCTGAAGCACCTGGCATTAGCCACTGTCGGAAGACAGGCTAGTGGGCTAGATGGACCATTGGTCCAAACCAATATGACCGTTCTTGTGTGTTGAGCAAGAAGTTGTCCTTACTACACTTTCCTGACTACAACTGTGCTTTAAAGGCCCCTCTCCAGCAACATTCCATCAGACAAACTGACTGGATTTTAAAAAAATGGAACAAGTGAAAATTACTATTGATGGACCCATATAAAAAAAACCTAAAACCTTGCCAGGGCTTAAACTTTTCATATTAAAAAAATGAATATGAACTCTACTGAAGGATTAAAACTGGAGTAAGTAGTGAAATTCCTGTTTTACAAGCATCTAACGTTTTACATTACAGAAGGGATTCAATCCCCAAGGTAGGTTTAAACAGAAGTCATGTAAATCATTAAAAGGGTTTATTTAAAGGAAAGCTTGAATTATGGAGCTGTATTAGTCAAAGATAACAACTGAGCTCTCAAAAGCACCAGTACACAATTTATGTCAGCTTGATTTAAAAAAAAAAAATTGTGTTTGATCAGGAGATGCATAAATGCAGAATGTCGCCAACTGTTTTATGCTACTTCTTCTAAGATTTACCATGGTATTTATACTGATCTGAAAGTCTGATTAGAAGGATTAAATAAAAATTTCAATGGAATATTAAAAGGTATTCTACTCTCTACACAACTACAAAGATGTCACTGCAAAAGTTTAGTTTTTCTTAAACAATTAGCAAACTGCAGTGAAAAAGCAGTCACCATCATCCTAATTTGATATATAACAAGGCCAAGTGCTAGTTTATGATGAAAATATTAACTTATTTGTTTAAAATATACTCATCAGCTAGTCAGAGGTCAAAGTGAAAAAAAATAACAGAGAACAAGTAATTTCATGAAAATTAATAATGTAATTATAGTGACACCTCACAACACAAACATGCTTCAATCAGAATCATTAGATTAGCCACATTAGGGGCTTATCTACACACACTAATTTACACTGGTTTAGATAAACTAATGGAAACCTCTGTGTGGACACACATTTTAAGAGTGACTTATATAATTTAGCTTAAACATGTTTCTGAGGCCTAGTCTACACTTAAAATTCTGATAGGCATAGATAGTTACGTCGCTCCCTCGGGGGATAATGACATAGCTATGCCAACCCAAGCCCTTGTGTGGATGCACGGCTAGTTCGACAGCAGACTGCTTCTGTGGACCTACCTACCACCACTGGGGGCAGTGGATTACCTACAACAACAGAAAAAACCTTTCCATTGCTGTAGCAAGGGTCCAGTATGGTGCTACAGTGGGAGAGCTATAGCACCAGTAGCTGAGACATGGCCTAATTGACTTAAACTAAACTGAAATAAGATGGGTGTAAAATGAAATAATGTCCACATAGCCTTTTGCACGAGTTTCACCTAAATCAGTTTTTTTTAAACACACCTTAAGATAAACTGGTGCGATTTTACATATAGACAAGCCTTAGGATTAATATTATGACAATTAAAGTGTTTTCTACATGGTTAAAATTTTTAACAAGATTACGTTGATTTAACTGTGCTTAGACACTATGGTGATGGGAGCCAATATCAGATACTGTACAGAAAGAACTGTTTGAGCGTTAAACCCTAATATAATCCAATATGAAATACATCAGTCCAAAACCTGCACAGAACAAGAGAACCATAAAATCCACACTGTTTTCTTGCACAGTCACAAGAGTGTCTTCATGTCAGCCAAGTTAAAAAGAACTTGGGTCTAAATTGACTTGTCCTTATTTGAAAATTAATTAGGTAAACAGATTTTCAGTTAGGAAAACAATTCACTAAGTCATCCCTGAAACAAACTGCTTCATTCAAACTCCGTAGTTATACAGACTTTGGAACCTTCTTTTGAGACTGTCTGCACCCAGATCTCACAACATTCTAAGCAAAGGTAATTTCACTCCTAAACTAATCTAGTTTAGAACCCTAGGATTACAATTTGGAATTAAACCTTGAACAAAGGTAAATAAACTCACTATTTTTGCACACCAGGTTAGTGCATATTCCAGAAACGCCAAGTTCTTGTAACAAGCAAAGCAAGAAAAATTGGAAAAGGGTTTACTAGTTAAACCATTATTCTTAATGCATAAGATGCAATCTTGCTAATGAGACTATGAGATGGCCATAATTGCCATTGAGACATTTTCTCAACAAACTTTCAATATCACATTCATTCTAAACTCCCCTTTTCATTTACTGATTCCATTATTACAATCACAAACAAAAAAGTGTAATGTCACTGATATACATATCTAAAGCAAAAAGAGAACTAGGAGCCAAGCATTAAATATTTAATTACAGGAAGAAATCTGTTAGGGCCTAAAGTGTGTTTTATTTAATAAAAGAAGTTTCTCCCCCTCCTCCAGAAGATACTCCTTCATCTTAATGTCTCTATGACAGTCTTCATTCATGTACACCCCCACATCAACATTGTGTCCTTAATGTGCCTAATCAAGGATAAGACTCCTAACACTATATTATACTTATATTGTAAACTCTTTGTGGCAGGAACTTTTATTGTTTGTAAAACACTTAACACAATGGGGCCCCAGTCCTAACTGGGGGTTCTGGGTGCTACCCCAATATAAAAACAACTATTTGGGGGACTGAGAGAGGTAGCGTCACTGTTGAACAGTGCGGAACTGTGAAGATATGAGGCTCAGCTCGTAAGAGGTGAGAGAACAGTGGGTCATTAAGTCACCCCATCTCCCTCAAATACTACAGTGATGTGGACCATATAAGTATCCAAATAGATTACATAATGCTTAGAAGATTTTTGTGAGCTCTAGAAGTCACACCCAATTTTCTTTGGGCACAGGGAAAGCAACCATGATGGTGGTTTTGGAATATTATTGTGGAAAATTAAAGAGGGAAACATTAAGTTTTGTAGAGAATTTTTCTTATTATTTGTATTGTTTTTAGACGCCTCAACCCAGACACTGTGCAGACATATAGTAAAAACCAGTCACTGCCTTCAAGAGTTTATAATCTAAAACCATTCTGAAAAAGAAACATCAAGCTTCTGCCACCTCCTTCCTACTGATGCAGAGTCTTTGTTCTACTTCAGCAATGAGAGGATCTGCAGTTCCGAATTAATTGTAGGATTCATTTTAAAGCAACTTTAAAATACATTTTACACTCATCACAGATTCTGTGCTGTGCTGTTGGGTAAAATTTAATATTTCACTCAATGTTTCTTTTGAAAGCTCCCTAATTTAAACTGTCACTGGTAACTAGACAGCAGTAGTCCCAAGGGGATGAGCTAGATGATTTGATAGGTGTCTGTCTCTCTCATTCACAAAATTCTTGCATGACAAGGGATGGACTGTCTGGTGGAACCTGCTTACCTCTGAAAAATTAACTGCCAAGGGGATAATCCCCGCCACATAACAGCCAACCAGCATAGCCAGAGACAGCAGACTGATGGAGATGAAATCATCCATGTTGTTGCTTTTTGTCCACTCGCTTAAAGTGAAATTCAACTTTTCCAGCTTTTACTGCATGTAGTTTTTCAACTTGTGCAGGTGTTGCGGCTCCAGCAGAATCATGAAGGTCAGAGGCGCCTCTTCCCCAGTAGTGCCACAAACTCCCTCCCTCCCCCAAGAGCTACGTGTGAGAGAAACACCCCGCTTTCCTGACCCTGATCCCTGGATCTGTCAACAGCAACTGGGATACCACGATTCTCTCCCTCTCGCCGCCTCCCCTGTCAAGGGCCACAGGGGAATAAGCCGCCCCCGGGGGAGCGGAAAAGCCCTTTCTCTCCCACAGCCTGGGGGCAGGGAGCACCTTTCCGCCCGGGTGAGAGAAGGGCCCACCCCGCTCACAGACGATACCAGCCCCAGGTGCAACAGAAAGGCCGCTCGCCCCGAGACACAGGGCCAGTCAACAGCTCCCTGGAGGGAGCCTGGCCCTTCCTACCACCCCAGGGAGACGCCGGCAGCGCCTTCGCCTTCCCCTGCTGGCCCCTGGTCTTGGCGGACTAGGAGGGGAGCGGTTCAGCGAGGAGCTCAGGCTTCAGGCTCCCCTTTGCGCCCGGCGTCCCCCGCGGCTGCCATGGAGGCCAAGTGGCAGCTCCGCAGTCAGACACTTCCCCTTCCCGAGAGCAGCTTCCGGGTTAGCGGCCTGAGCCCCCCCCCCGGGGGCTGGGGCGGGACGGAGCGTCTTTCTCACGTGACTCACTTTCTGTCGCCACTTCCCGCCCGATTCCAAGATGGCGGACAAATAATCACTAAGGGGCCATCTTGGAAGGGGCAAGAGGCACAAAGGCGCTGATAGGATACGGTGCCCCTATCAAAGATGACGGCTAAAGTCTCAAAGAACGGCGCCATTATGCCCCTCCCAGCATACGCAACGCCGGCGAACGCTTTGCCATGTGGTTTTCTCGCGAGAGTTTCTCTATAGCACTGGCGGCGCTCTGGTCGGGTTCCGTGATGTCTATGGTAGGGAGCTAGGGGCTGGTTGGCGGTTGGTGGAGTGTTTCCGGTTAGCGCGGGGGATTGCGGGTGACCGTTGGGAACTGTTAGTTCGGGACCGTCACAGTCAACGGGGCTGTGGAGAACGAGTCGCCATGGTGAGGAGGGGGAGTTCCCGGCGTGCGGGGAGGAACCGGGTCGTTCGGGCCGCGCCATAGTGGCGGCGGGAATGAGTCTGCTGAGGGTGACGTAGCGCTGCGGCCTGGCAGAGTCCCCAGCCGCGTGTCTCCCCCCGCCCCCCTCTCCAGGGCTGGGGACCGAGCGGGATACAGACCCAGCCCCTTACCTACCGCACGAGCTCCGCGGGGAGAGGGGCGGGGGCGAGTCTGGCTCGCGCGGGGCAGGATCACGGGGGACCCTCGCGCGGGCCCCGAGGACTGCGGTTTTTTCCCATCCGCGGTGGAGGAGGGGGCCTGATTCCCCAACGGGCATCTCCAGCCCTCGGCTGCGCCTTGCGCAGGGAGGGGCGAAGGCCCGTGCGGGGCCCGTGCTTATCCACGCGGGTAGATTCCTTTCCCACAGCACGTGTCTGCCCTGGCAGCTGCCACTGGGGCACAGGGTTTAGCCTTGGGGTGACCGGGCTGCACGCTCAGTGACTGGGCTTGTGGCTTTGTCTGGTTCTCTCTGATGCACACGTGGGGCCTAGGCGGGTTTCTTCGCGATGCGTTTTCAGCTTGTTTCTACACCAGAAATTCTAGGTCTGTTTAGGCTGGAAAAGTCTGTCATGATGGGAGAACTAGTGTAAATGAAATCCCCAAAGGGAGTGAAAGGCCTGTATACATCACACGCGTGGGGTGGGGAGTCAAGTCCAACTTTTAGAAAATCCTCTGCAGGTCACTTTTTAATCTCTTATTCAAAGAGCTGCTTCCTTGAATTTGTGGAACATAATGGCATTAAACAGGTGTGGGTTTTTTTATTGAAATGTTTCCTTGTAGCACTTGGAATCCAGAGCCCTCTTTATATGTTAGGAAATGAAAGTGAAATTGATATATATGGCTTCACTGGTTAAACTGAGTGAAATGCAAAAAGAGCTGATAATCCTAGTGCTTTGTTACTTTCATGTGAAAGTGAACTACACTGAAGGAAGCCTACTGGTATCAATGCTTTGATAGCTGGCTAACAGCTGCCTGTGAAGAGGAAATAGTTGAAGCACTTCTGTAAGGGCTAATGCTACTATGACATTCTTTTAAGTGAAGTTCTTGAGCCAATTCAAGCAAACCACTACTTCTGGCTGGCAGTAGGAGTAACTTAAAACCCTAAAAATATCTGCTACATACCACCTGCATTCACTTGATTGTACTTATATCGGTGCCTAGGCCCTGCCCTTTTTCCATCCCCAGCTTCCCCAATGTCCACTGTTTACTATGGGTGCAGCATCTTAGTCATGTTGCTGAGAGCTAATATGCAGTTGGTAGAAGTCTTTCTGCATGGGTACTGAGTAGATGCTGAGGTCTGAGCCTTAGTACTTTGGCTTTCTGCACTTCGTTAAACATGTTTTGCATGGTAATATCCATAGGTGGTAATTAAAGCCATTTTTAAAAGACCTGACAAGAACATAGTTGGACTTGCTATAACAGATCAGATGAAAGTTCCATCTTGTCCAATACTGTGTCTGAAAGCTGACAGTATCCGGTGCTTTGGAGAAAGGTGCCAGGAGCTAGAAAGTCCTAGAAATTAAAATACATCCATCCTTGAATAGCTAACTGCAGACTATAATTGTGGAACTTTGTGTTCACTTGTAACTGATAGTGAATACTCAGTCTCATGTTTCATGTACTGGCTTTTCACCTTGAGGTGAGAGTTGCAATGTTAGTGAAATGAAAGTTTGATTCCACCCTGGTTTTCCATCATGTAGGGTATTAAAACCAATAACTGCCAGCATTTACAATGGAATAAGCAAATCAATATAATCTCCAATATAGTAGTGTTTTTTTTTTTAGTTCTCATTTCTTTTGTTATGCTGGTGTTGTATTTACAAGGGAAGAGCCTGGGCCTTGCATACTATTTCTTGAATGCAGTCAATGTTTTTGAGTGTGAAATAATACAAGATTGTTATTCAAGAGAAAAACACGTGTGCATTGATCTGTCTCAGGATTAATGTAACTGATTGGAAGAAAAAATTGCTGGCCAAAACAGTGCCACAAGGCAGCCCTCTTTTCAGTTTCTAATTCATGGTGTAATGGGACATTTGTTTTCTGTACTACAGGCCTCATAGGATTTTTTTAAGAGAGAAATGCAAAGCCATTTTAAGACTGTTACTCTGATTCTCCTTTAGACAGTAAGATTTATATGTTACAAGTATATAAGATCTGATTACTAGAAATACAGCTGAATTTGTCTCTCATGGGTTGGTCTTCTAAACTTCAGTTTAGTCTTCATGGTTTTTAATGTGTATTTCTAAGTTTGAGTCACTGTCTTATTTTTGTGCAGTCTCACACAATTTTGCTTGTTCAGCCTACCAAGAGGCCAGAAGGGAGAACATATGCTGACTATGAATCGGTGAATGAGTGCATGGAGGGTAAGTATTGTTGCCTCTGGGATGAAGATGCTTTAGACGATCTCTTCTTGTTAAGGGCAGTTTAGTTTGATTATTTTTCCCAAACTTTCACCTGCTGAGAGAATCCATTCTCAACACATTTCCTTAAATTGAAAAGGTATAAAAATGACTTACCCAAAAGTGCCCTATTGGTGTAACAGTTTGCTGCAAGACTCAAGTTCACATGGTGCGAAAGAGTTATTTCAAAAAGACTCCTCATTACTTCACAAATCATCTTCCTGTATTTATTCAGAGTCCTATTCTGACTTTACTGACTAAGGCCCTGAAACTGCAATGAGAGGTGCACTGTGCAAGTGGTCTGACTGTGTGCATCTCATTGCAGGATCAGATCCCAATTTTCTAACTACTAATTTGTTATCCCTCCAAAGCAAATAGTAGATAATGTTTTCACCCCTCAGCTCATATATGAGCGGTAATCTATATCCCATTGTTCTGCACATAATCAACTGGATAAATACTAATTGCAAACTCTGCTACTAGGAATGTGTGAGCCAGAAATAAACCAGTTTGACTTTCAGACACACACTAGTTTGCAGGCTAGATGGAAAAAAATGTTTTCATTTGTAAATTGGCCTGATTTTATATGGATTCACTGGTGGCCTCATCATGAGAGGTGCTAAGCACACTCATCTCTCATTCAAGTCAATAGAATGAGTGTTCAACACTTCAGGACCAGGTTCTGAGAGACATAGAACCTCACTGTTCAGACTGCATAACCACACATGAAGCAATTTGGGTGTTTAATTTAGCATTACACTTTAGCACAATGCAAAGAAGATCTGACTGTGGGTTAACATTTAAAAAATGTGGTATATCACGTTAGTTCTTATACTCTCTAACATCAAGAATATCTTATTGTACCAACTGCATTAAAGTTTTCTGCAGCTAGACAATTCTTTACTCACCAAAAAAAATTCTGAAAGACTTTTTCTTACAAGATGGGAAATGTTGATTTGCTGCTTAGAGGAATCTTAAATTAACTTATAAAATATTTAAGTCATGTGGGTTTTTATGAAAGTGCAATAATCACATTTTCATCCCTGCTGTAATCTGATCTCTTTACATTTGGAAAAGAGTGACTTTCTGCCTGTTGTAATGTATGAAAGTCCATTGCTCCATTTGAGAATATATACTTCCTTGCTTAATGTCTGATCCTGTTGCACAGCAGGCACGTGTACAGCTCTGTTGCTAGGATTTGTCAACTTAACTTCTGGTTTAGAACCAGCAATGAGATAATTCTAAACTTTTGCCCTGTATACTCAGTAAAAAAAAAAAGTATATTGTACATTTTTGTAAAATTATGCCTTGAACCAAGTGTAGATTTAAAATCCAGAAGACTGTTCTCACTACTTCATAAGTCATGGTCTTGAACTATTTGACAGTGCTTCCTTAAGTGTGATACCTTAAAAAGGTGTAAATAATAGTGACCCATTTCCCACATCAATGTGTTCTGGGTGCTATACAAACAATTATGAGAACTATTCAACATTGTAAAATTGAAATAAAATATTAAAGCTCGGTGGTATTGTCGATTAAAACAATTCTATAGCATCTGCATGTTCCCATTCCAAATGTGCTGCTATAAACTTTACTGTTGCCTGTAACTTTAATACCAGAAGGAACTTATGGCAAACTGAAACCAATAGCCTTTTAATGCCATTATTGATGGTACTGAAAGTTCTTCTCTCTCTGCAGGAGTTTGTAAAATGTATGAAGAACATCTGAAGAGAATGAATCCCAACAGCCCATCC